AGAGGGGTCGTGTCTGGCCCGAGGTCTCACAGCCACTGAATTCCAAAGGCAAAGAAGTCGGGGTAGGGGGAGTCAGGTCTAAGAAAATAAGACTGTGGCTATTAGGGGGCAGTTTTGGAACACCAGGCATTGAACATCTGTAAACTCCTTTGAGGCGGGACGATTGCTTGAGCACAGGAGTCCAAGACCAGCCTGAGCAAGAGTAAGACCCTGTCTCTTTAAAAAGAAGAAGGAAGAAGGAAGAAGGAGGAGGAGAAGAAAAGAAACAGAACCCACCTGGGGTCAGATGGAGACAAGACTGGAGTATGAACCCCTTCGGGAAGAGGGCGTTCCCTCAGTGCCAGCTTAATACACGGTGACAGTAGCGGTGAATCTGAGCTCAGCATCCAGGAAGTGAGGGGCAGGGGGTAGGGAAGAGGCAGAGGTCAGGACATCCGGGCACAAATGATGAGCCGTGGTCAGGAGGTCAAGGGTTGACGGCTGACTTTCTAGTAATGGAGACAGTTCTGGGTCTAGTCATCCGCATCCTCACCCAGAGCTGGGGACCACAGCCAAGGTGCTCAGCCTTCAAGAAGTCCAACCCTTACTAGCCTAACCGGCACATTCTATAGATAGCCACTGTTCCAAATCCCTGCAGTTGAACTGGATGTCACAGCCTCGGGGTAGTCCCTCTCCACTAAGCTTCCACAAACCCCATCACTGGCTACCCTCTAGCCGCACTGACCCCCACGACACACCCAGCTGACTCCTGCCTTGGGTCTTTGCGCTCAGTCCTGCTTTCAAGGTCATCTCATCTAGCTCCCCCTTTTCATTTAGGTCTCAGTCACCTCATCAGGGAGCCCTCTTTGATCACTAGACCCAAACAGGCCACTCCTCAGTCTCTCTCAGCCCATTCCCTATCATATTTTCTTCTTTGCATTTATCTTTTTCTGTCCGCATGGGTGGACAGATGCTGATTTCTTTACTGCACAAACAGCTCCCAGCACAGTCCCTGGCACATATTAGAACCTCAGTTAATATTTGTAACATAAAGGAATAAATAAAACAACAAACCTACAAATCAGCAAACCAACCAGAACTAAACAGATCTCCCAGTAGTGGATCTTTAAAAGAAGGGGGAAAAAGGACACTGTAGGGCACTGCAATTCATTGAAGAGGCCAACTCTTTGCAGGATGGCCCCCATCCTTTCTGCTTCCTTCAGTTTAAATTTGCCAAACAGCCGTCTTTGTCTCCAGGTTCAAATATCAAGGATATGCCTACAGAACTACTTCTCGTCTTTCCTGGCTTTGCCAGCAAACTGGGCACACAACTGGGCCAAGCTTGCAGTACTAAATTAAATCAGAGAACCATCTCCCCTCTTAACATCATTTTTCCAGGCAACAAAGCTTTAAGCCCCTAAACTTCTCTTAAGATGCTATTTTTGATGAAACGTTCATTAAAATGAACAATGCATTCTGCACATCATCCGCTGACCACCATTTAACTTTTGCTTGACAGCTTGAGGTCATCAGGCTCACTAATCATGTCACCATGCTACAGCACAGGGGTGTCCACAGTGTGGCAGGTGGCAGTGGAGTCCCACACGTTTGCATTCGGTGTCATTTCTCCCCTCAGGCTGTTAGTTGCCACTTCTTGCCGCCTGTCCCTCCTTGCCGCCTGTCCCTCAGCAGCCTCTACTAGCAATCCAAACCTGCTGTCAACTGGAAAGCCAGAACCTGCTAGAACTGTGCACAAACCAGGAATGAACAGGACCTGGGTAAAAACCCCCGAAGCGCTCCCTTAAACAGGATACATGGGTGCCGGCTCACCTAGCTGATGCTCTGGGAGGTTCCAGCTGGGTCCCAAAAGTCAGAGCTGCCCCCACAGTAGCCCCTGGAGCAGTGGAGCCCTGCACTGTGACCAGGAGCTTAGTTACCCTGGCGCTTTCCCAGGGAGAACATGCTGAAGGCACAGAAAGCAGCCTTCCCCGCGGCCCCACTGTAAAGCCATGCGGTGCAGCGCAAACGCTTTTTAAAGTTATGTGAAATCTTGTGGCTCCAAACATGTTTCCTTCAGTTTCAGTCTCCTCCACTCAGGAAAACAGGGCCCTCAAAGAGACCTTTGGGGAGCAAAGAACCACAGACCATGCATTTTGACAGTTACCAGCATGGACCCAGAGGCAGTTTTCCAAAGCAAAACAGAACCTAGAGGCCCTTCACAGGGGCTTGCTCACGTGAAATCATCTGTGATTCCAAATATCTTCTTTTCACCCACTTATGCCTTGGGAAGATAGTGCATCTTTCTCACTCTCTAACTGATTTTTTTTTTTTTTTTTTGAGTTGGAGTCTCACTCTGTCGCCCAGACTGGAGTGCAGTGGCATGCTCAAGGCCACCCCAGCGACCTGCTGGGCTCTGGCGATTCTTCTGCCTCAGCCTTCCAGGCTGGAACTACCAAATAACTGATTTTTAACAACAGTGTACAGCAATACTTTCTTTACATTCACTAGTTTGGACTGTACATCTGTTTGTGTGTGTGCATAAACATATCTGTTATTATTGCATTTATTATAGCACATCTGCTATGTGCAAGTGCATATGTGTATTTATAGAAAGAAAAAAAAAAAAAGGCTGGGCTCAGTAACTCAGCCTGTAATCCCAGTACTTTGGGACATGGAGACAAGAGAATTGCCTGAGCCCAGGGATGCGAGACCAGCCTGGGCAATTTGGTGAGACCTCGTCTCTATGAAAAATCACACACACAAAAAGAAATTATCTGGGTGTGGTAGCACACACCTGTAGTTCCAGCTACTTTGAAGGCTGAGGTAGAAAGATCGCCTGAGCCCAGCAGATCAAGGCTGCGGTGGCTGTGAGTGTGCCACTGCACTCCAGTCTGGATGACAGAGTGAGACTCCAACTCAAAAAAAAAAAGAGCTGGTTGCGATGGTTCATGCCTGTCATCCCAGCTTTGGGAGGTGGAGGCAAGAGGATTGCCTGAGCCCAGGCGTTTGAGACCAGCCTAGGCAACCTGACAAGAACCTTCTCTACAATAAATAAAAAAATTAGCCAGGTATGGTGGCACACGCTTGTAGTTCCAACTACTTAAAAGACTGAGGTAAAAGGATTGCCTGAGCCCAGCAAGTTGAGGCTGCGGTGACCATGAGCATGCCTGGGACAGCCTGGCACAGCCTGCGTGACAGAAACTCTGACTCAAAAAAAAAAAAAAGATGAGCCGGACTCAGTGGCTCAGCCTGTAATCCCAGCACTTTGGGAGGCTGAGGTGAGTGGATTGCATGAGCCCGCGGGTTTGAGACCCGCCTGGGCAACTTGGCAAGACCTCATCTCTACAATAAATCAAAAAATTAGCCGGGTGTGGTAGCACGCGCCTGTAGTTCCAGCTACTTGGAAAGCTGAGGCAGAAGGATCGCCGGAGCCCAGCAGGTCGAGGCTGCGGTGGCCGGGAGCGGCCACTGCACTCCAGTCTGGGCGACAGAGTGAGACTCCAACTCAAAAAAAAAAAAAGATGGAAAGTCTACAGATTGAATGTTATATAGTGGTATCTCCAGATGTGAAATCATGAGGGTTTTTTTCCTCTTCATATTTTGCTTTTCCAAGTTTCTTTTGTTGAGAATGTATGACATTTAGATAGATAAAAGTTATTTTTAAAAATTTTTATTCATTACTAAAAAAAAAAAAACAAACCCCAAAATCAGTCTCTGTCCCTAGTGTTAACTCCTTGCTGTGCCAGCAAATGCTCCCAATCTCTGACTCCAACAGGTGTGCCAGGTCACAGATGTTGGGCTCGCTTTGAGATATTTTGTGGGATTTCTGGGAGTCATCTCAGTCTCTCTTTCCTCACTCCTACTGTGGCTTCTGCAGTCCTGGGAAATAGGAGTGCCGAAAGCCACAAAACCTGTCCAAACCTCCTGCTCCAGGGGCTCTGACAAACAGCAAGAGGCTGCCAAGTAGTCTGAGAGAACAACACGTGGGGGTTTGAGGGGGAACACAGTCTTTGAAGGCAGGTGGGCAAGCGTAACCCAGCTTCTAGTACTTTCTACCATCTGTATGACTTTAAGTGCTTAAAGCTAGCAGAGCACTTAGTTTCCTTGAACCCTGCTTTTCTCATCAGTAAAATGGGAAGAATAATACTCACTGGCGATCAAACAAGACAATACACACCAAGTATGCCATCATGCTCAAAGGGTGGGCCCTATTGTTGTGATTATTCAGAATACCTGGAACACAGGGGACAGAACACTCTCAACCCTGGTTGCACTAAAGTACCCTAGGGAGTTCTTAAAAGACTCTGAGGTCCAGGATGGATGGGTATTTCCATATGGCTACAGCCACAAAAACTGTCTTTTCACCATACATTCAACTCCCTTTCCCTCCACCAATCCATGTCCAAGCATCCTTCCCATTGGCTCAAAATCACCAGCTCCAGGAGGTCCTCAACAAGTCTCTCATGTTCCTTCGACAGCCAGATTTGACAGAGAATTCCCATGGAACATGTTGTCGTTTGCTAGCCTTTTCACTATGGCCTGGGGACTACATTATGACCTAGCTTATGCTATTGGACTACAGGAAGGAGGTGGAGATGTTTGGACATTTGCCCTGGGTCCCCTACCACTTTGCGTCTTCATGCTTGCTTTTTAGATTTTTCTGTCTGTTCCTAATTTCAGCAGTTATCACATGTTGCTTCCTCAACACGAGTTCCTCAAATAGCCCCAGCCTCCCCTCTACTGAGACATCTGCGCATATGAGAAGGTACATAACCCTACTGGTTCAAAGCATGTATAGTCTGAGGGTAAACAGCCCTGAGGGAGACTCTGCTGAGTCAAATCCTGATCCTGGGTTTGCAGACCCTACTCTGACCAGGCACTGCCCTTCAGTGTGCCTCTGTTAGCCCAGCCAGACAAGATGGTTTCTAGGAAGTCCAGAATTTGATGATTCACTGAATCCTTCCAGGACTGGAATAAATACAGGTTTACAAATCAAGGTGCAGGCAGGGAAGCCAGGTTACCTGGTCCTGGAGTTTCTGGAACATCAGGGGGTGCGGTTCTTCTAGAATCTTCTCATTGAGCCGAGACTGCCCCTCCACATTGACTTGTGACGAGGCCTTACTGGACAGAAAGGTCACATAGATCTCCTTGGCCTTTTCCTGCATCTGGAGGAGACAGAGAAGCCTGTTTGTTATCTGTGAGCACAGCCTTCCTGGCCTGGGTCCTGCTCTCCCCTCCAGCCAGGCTTGGGAGGAGCTGCTGGAGAAAGGAAAAAGCCCCCACCACCACCACCTGCCAAGCAGTCCGGGGTTCTCAGGCCACTCCAGAGTGCAGCTCTATCTGTGGGGGCTCACGTGACCCAGCCCCCACCCTCAGCTTTCATGCAGTGTAGACATAGCTCCTGTTAACATGGCTACCCTCACCATTTGAAACCCTGTCTCAGAGTGAGCACTCAGAACCATTTTCAGGACCATCCTGTGACCTCTCCAAATTAAGGCTCGAGGGAATATTATTCTGTCCTAAAAAGGAACGAGGCACTGACACATGCTGCAACCTGGACCAGCCTTGAAGACAGGATGCTAAGTGAGAAAAGCCAAAATCCAATATGGTATAATTCCATTCACACAAAACATCCAGAACAGGTAAATCCATAGAGACAGAAGGATTGGTGGTCACCAGGGGCTTGGGGAAGGGAGAAATGGGGAGTGACTGCTGGTAGGTAAGAGGTTTCAGTATGGGTTGATGAAAAAGTTCTGGATCATAGTGATGACTGTACAACATTGTGACTATACTCAATGCCACTGAATTGCACACTTTAAAATGGTAAAAATGAGACATTTGCCCCAGGTTTTCTGCTACCTTGAGTCCTCATGCTTGCCTTCCAGATTTTTCTGTCTGTTTCTACTTTCAGCAGTTATCACATGTTGCTTTAAAAACTAAAAAGTTATTAAAATGGTAAATTTTATGCTACACATATTTTACCACCATAAAACAATCAAGTTAAACCAGGCACACCTATCCCTACCAGTCATCAACCACCTACTATGCTGCAGACACCTGCTAGGTGTGCTTTCACTTCCTTAATCCCCTGCACATGCAGCAAAGTGTCATTTTCTTATTAGCACCACTGTTCTGATGAGCACACAGGGGAGACTTAGGAATGTTTGGCTCCACAGCCTTTCGATTTGCCTAGTTTCACCCCTATGAGAAGCATCAGCCTCTGGGTTGTGCGGTCTGTCAGCCTTCCAGGGCAGGGTGTGTTTGCTTTCAGGTAACACGATGCTGAGTATAAGCGATGAAGAAAACATCTGCTGCCTGTCCTGAAGTCCCAAGTGCAGTCTTGCTGGGAAGTAGGAGCCCTAAGTAGCCCTAAGTAGGTACCAGCTGCCTTGCCAGTCCTGGAAGCAAAGATGAAAAGACGTTCGCCTGTCTGTCTGACTCCTGTTTCACCAAAAACCAGCGGCGGCCGGTTCAGGAGCACTCTCTGATGCTAAGAGATGGACTTTCAAAGTAAGTACTTTGTCTTCAAAACAGCATGCCTCATGGGAGGGGTGGGGGCTGCAGATGCAGGAGTCTGCTCTTCTAGGACTTCCCCTGAGAGTTCTATTTTCTTTTAGAGAAAAGAGACTTCCTGTGCACGTACCCCATCAGCAGCAAAGATGGGACTGTTTCTCTAGACAGTAGAATGTAAGCATGACCTTACCCTACAGAGCAAGACAGACGATAAATGTCTCTGAGATGCAGCTGCAGAGGTGCTATGACATGCGGGAGGAGGCGAGGGGGGCTGGAAAACCGTCTTTCTCGAGAGAGAGAGCCCACCTGGGACTCTGTGTGCTGTGGCAGAGCTTGGTATAGGAAATGTCAGGCTCTGAAATCCTTCAGCCTTATGGAAGCCACCAGAAGACTTCAATAACTGGTGCTTGAGAGCAGAGGAAAGTAGCCTTCTTGGGTTCAGGGACTGATGACACAAGACTCCAAGACTGACCATGTTCTGATACGTCCTGTTCTCCTGAGAAAGCAAGCCTCACCAATTCTTGGAGGAGGACTGCCCAGGTGGGGGTCAACACCCACAGCCATGGTATCTGTTCTTTCTTGACTGTCATCATGATTAATGAATTGATGCTGGACTCAAAGACACAGGAGCCTTCTAAGACACACGTGGCTATTCTAAGGGACAGGTCTGGGGACCATCCATGAGACCTGGTGCAGTGGGGACATCTCCGTGACCACAGCCTCCATGAAGCCATAAGCCTCCCTCCCACTACTCCCATTCTGTCAAGAAGAAACATTTTAGGAAAACCACTTCCTGTTTTACTTCATGAAAGGAGAATTTTAGCCAGTCAGATGAGCAAACTGTATGCAGAACTCTGAGGGTAGAAATCACTTTAGAGCTCACCCCACCCCCTTGAACATTCTCACACACACATACACAAATCCAGGGTATCTTGAGTGGTTCTGCAACAGGGAGGCGTCATGAGTATTCTGAGGTTTCGGCGTGGAGACAGGAGGAACCAGGGGAAAGGAAGTAGGCTCTGGGGACTGCAGCTGTATAAACCTGCAGGTGTCTCAGCCCAGCCCCCTCCCGCCTGCCACCCCTGTCTGAGAACAGTGCGGGGTCGGGGTCCCCGGGCACCAGTCAACAGGATGTGCCCCAGGAGCGGCTGCAGCAGCCGAGCTTATCTCAGTGGAGCTAGGAAGCATGACTGAAGAGGGAAACCCTGAGACTGCCAACCGCAGGCTGGTCACGGGAAAGCCTAGTGTCCAGGCCGAGAACAGTCACAAAAAAGAAGAACCAGTCTCTTCAGCTATTTTGGTAGATTTTTCCAGAGCATTGTTAACCCTATTCTGGCACTGTCAGGATAGAAACAGAGCAGCCACTCGCTGGTGGAGCTGATTCTGGCCCAGGGCCTGGAAGGATGGCCAGCTTCTCTTCCACAGCTCTGACCCACATGCCCGGCCACAATCTAGACTGCCCCCACATTCCCTGTGGAGACGAGATATGCCCAGCATCTGACTCTGCTCCAGCAGGTGCTGCAAAAGAGTCTCCTTGGGCCCATCGACTCTGGGACTGCCCATGGAAGCGTCTGTCCCCAGGGAAGCACCTTCTAGATACCCCACCATTCTAGGGCCTTTCTCTAAGGCCTGCCAGTGCCTCTGCTATGAGGAGGCTCAGTCATAAGTCAGCACTCAAACCCTGCTCCCAATGTGTGCATGGTCAGAAGTAGCAAATTCACTTTCCTATCAGCCTCAGAAACTTCTACACAGATGAACAGTAAAGTCACCAGGGGTCCAAAGCACAGGAGAACACTGCTTTGCACATGGGTCTCTCTCCCTCATCCAGTCAGCATGCTCAAATGCATCCCACTGGGAAGATGAAACAAGACACCTTTCACTCCATATCCCCCTGCATGGGGGCTAATGGCCTCCCCACCCCAATTTCTTATTGAATCATCTCAAAAGAAACACATGCCCTTGTGTCTCTCCTTTTTCCCCCATTTGCTCCTCCAGCACAGCTCCAACTAGCTCACTGCCTCTCCCCAGGCTGCGAAGCCCCTCAGACACTCCTCTGGACCATGTGGGCCCAGTCCTGCTCACCACTCCAACCTTCTTGTCTTCCGACTCCCTCACCATAAGGGCCCTATCCTCCCAGGATTCCCCAGCCCTTCTCTGTATCTGTCTGTCTCCTATCCCAGCTCCTGTCCCTCTGTCTCCTGTGAGTTCTGGGGTTTCCCAGAGTTCTGCCCTTGGCTGACCATTCTAACTCCATGCTCTCCCCAGATACCAGCCCAAGCATCCCCAAGCTACGGACCCATGTGGCCAAGTGATTTCTAGCAATGTGGGTGTGGATGTCCCACAGACACCTCAAACTTACCACAGAGTAAAGGAATGGTCCCTTCCTGGCCAGCAGGTCCCGCAGTCTCTGCTCTAGGATGCTGGAAACCATGATCCCCTGTAAGCCCTCCTCACTGCAGGGAGTGCTGCCCACCTCACCTCCTCGTACACCTCTGCCAACCTGTCCCTCTCCATCCCTGGCCATTCTAACTCCATGCTCTCCCCAGAGAGACAGACAGACAACTGGAGATAACACCTAAGGAAAAAATTTTTTTTTTAATTGGAAAATATAGTTTATTTAGAAAGTAAATTAGAGAGAGAGAGGGAGAGAAGAGGAGATTCACATCCCCAAGGTAGGGGAGGGGGGCCAAAGCTAGGATACATGGTGGACATAGCTCAAGGAGCCACATGGCTAGACCAGAGTTTAACAGAGCAATGACAGACACCTAAGAAAATTAAAGAACCAAGCCACCTGCTTCATGAACATCAGTTTCAGAAAGAGAATGAGGCAAAGAAAATATCAAATAAATGACATGAGAAAGTTTCCGAGAACTGGCTCAGGAAATGGAAAGCAGTTGGAGGAATAGCAGACGACTCTGCAGAGCGCAAGAAGAACAAACCCAAGCACCTGCGGGGGAGGGGGTTGAGGGCCCTCAAGAAGCATGTCCAAAAATGAAAGGAACTCAGGGGCATCTGGCAACACAGATAGAAATGATGAGGAGAAGCCAGGCTCGGCGGCTCAGCCTGTAATCCCGCGCCTTTGGGAGGCTGAGGTGAGTGGACTGCCTGAGCCCGCGGGTTCGAGACCCGC